GAACACGAACTCTCGGAAATAAATTTTGACGAGTTGACAAAGTTGGTTCCGATCCTGGAATCGCGGCTTACGAACGTGTTGAAAGAACTTGTAAAGGCAAACACTTTGTCAAAAAATAAAGTCAAGTCGAGTAAGGACTGGGGCGGGCTGGAGGCGGCTAAGAGAATGTACTCTGCTGCATTGAGGAGAAGTGCTACCAGCGTAGATGAAGAGATTGTTGAAAAATGTCGGAGAGTAGCAGAAACACTACAGAATTTAGAAAAAATAAAAAAGGAAACCCGGTGATATAAATTGGGCTGTAAACAGCCAAGAGGACGTATTTTGTTGCCTTGAGAAAAGGAGCTACCTGTAGAGACGAACAGGTCGTTAAAAATACCTGAAAGTTTAGCGACCGTCGGACAGACCAGAGGATGTACTCTGACGCTGTACTTGGAAACTTATAAGTACAGATCAAAGGAATGCGGACTTGAGGAAAACAGAAGAAACGTTGTTGGGTTCGCCAGACTCTAATAACGAAACCCGTAGTTGTCAAGAGACGTAAAAATAGCTGAGGGACTGTCAGCCTGCGAATACAGCGAGGAGAGAGAGCTGTATTCCCAGGCTAAAGGACCCCTAAGGGACTGTATTCTCAACTGGAAGTTCAAGACGTTTTGCCATCGGTATCCTTCATATATTTCCTCTGTTCAGCTTTCACCCTCTGTTGACACCTTTCCAGAGCTGCAATTAATTATTTTATTTATCGGATATTCGGGACCTCAAGATCCGAGAACGGTGAAGGCGGAAGCACAGACGTTTCTGGACGACGGACGTCAACCGGAAGTGAGGCCTTTTCTCTTTTAATATGCCTTGACGCGACCAGATTTGTATGGCTAGGTTTCTTTACTCTAGACGATTTGCCCAAGAATTTGTTCAAAAGCACGGCCGAGGAGTGCAAAAAATCCACTTCCGGTTGACGTTCGTCGCTCAAAAACGTCGTTGCTTAAATTCCCTAATCATCGCCCAATGTTGCTTAAAGAGTGAATTCGCGTTTTTTTTTTTCAATCTTCATCGCGATTATTCCGCCTCACTTACTTTGTCAAATGTTGGTGAACTCTCCAAGAGTTTAATTCCTAAGAATCATATCTAATCTCAGAGTTCAGAATGAGAAGGGGAATTTTGTCCTGTCTCGTTACGTAATTTATAGCGATACTCACGCTTACGTCACCCATTGATATTTATGTACCAACCAGAAGCGCACTGATTCTTGAAACAAAAGTTTCTATTGTGCCACTCGTAACAAAAACGATGTTTATAAACAGTGATGTCTCTTATAAAACGTGAAATCAGGCGTTTTTACGTCGCACTGTCGTGCAGTGACGGCAAAGAAATGGACAAAAATTTGTGCTGCACATACGTCGTCGTCGTCGGATCTTAAGGTCCCTATCTACAGCTCTTCCCACCTTATATAAAATATCACAAAGAAAAATACAGGCACAAGAATGATAATCATTAATAAAGATGATGTGTTTTTAACCCATTCGCTCCAGGAAGTTTTGTTGAGAAACGTCTCGATTCAATCTGGCCCGAAAGAACCAAAACTACCCAAATACCCTGTTTATAAAGCACTTCGCAGCCCTTTGTTCTGAGGCTAAGTATCAGCCTCTGAAGTTCAGGCTTCGGGAATCCACAGAAACCACAATTCGAGACTTAATTTTCGCTTTCTTTCCTACCGTCTTCGTTTGCTTTCTTGCCCCTTTTTATGCTGGGCATTAACCAGTCTGCATTAACTAGGCTTCATTTCGATGGGAAAAGATTTGGGGAAAACTTTTAGGATCGTAAGATTTAGTGATGGATGGAAGTGCATGTGGGAAGTGGTGGGTTTTCCTTGAAATTTTCGAGCCAACTTTACATGGCTTTTTTCTACCTTCTTTTTTTCGTGCTCATTCGGTGTGGATTGAAAGCTCTCTTCCCCCTGCACAAGTTCAATGCCAGAGTTGCCCATTATCGTGAAAACTGATAACGCCAGCTGAAAGTCGTTGGTTCCTAAGACTTCTATCTTTAACCTAAATATTCTCGTTTCTTCTTCTTGTGGGATCAAAATAAGCCAGGGCAATCAACATGATCAAGACATTATTTGATTTAAAGAAGGGGGCAATTGGGATTTTCACTCGCGGTGTAGGGTTTTGTTGCTGTTGTTTTGTTTGTTTGTGTTTTCTTATTCATTAGCATTAAGGTAAAGGTTCTGCAGTTTTAAAAATCAGTACAGCCAGCATTTAGAACTTCTGTGAGATTTTAGGCTATGTTCATACTACACGGGATGAATTTTGGACTGGCTGAAAATTTTGACTGGACACTTGGTTCACACGGGACCGTTCAATATTTGTGCTCTGTTCACACGGAACTTTGAACCGCCAGGCGTCTAAATATCCGTACGGTTAAGGCGGTTCCGTGTAAACGGAACACCCAAAAGCATGAATTTTCAAGCGGTCAAAAATTCGTCCGGTGCCGTGAGAACTTAGCCTCAGAATGCCTTTTTAGAAACTTTCCCCTTGTGATCGTTATCTCTGGCTTTTGAATTCTATGGCGTTTTATTGTGTGTTAACGGTTATTAAATTTTTAGCGGTGTTGTTTCTCAAGGTCTTTGTAGCAACACTCCACTTAGACACGGGGCGAAAGTGTTCTGTGGAATCATCAAATACACATTGTTACTGTCTACACAATTTCACGAGACTAATAACAGTGGTGGGCCTGTTCATCTAGAGGCAGGCTTGGCCTCTTTCGTGGCCCTGCCAGCCTCAGTTTGATCTATAAATAACGTGGGGGCCATAGGCCACTCCCATCCAATAATCTCCAACTGCTAATGCATGTATGGTAGGGGGCTATTTATTGGAATGGATGATAAATTACATGTTTTTATGAATCAATAAGAGAGAGGAATTTATTAGAACATAGGTGTCTATATTTTGAACAAACATTTTACTTCAGTTAATTTTGTTAATATTATGTAACCTGGCTCAATTCTTGCAACCCAGTTTATCAATCTGTCCCTTCGCAGCAGTTAGCAATTGTATGTATACTTGTAAACAATATCATAAACTGCCACTTATACACTGTAAGCCCTAGGCTTGTACAGTTCCATAGGGGGTACAAACATAGGGGCTTATAATCCGAGGGGCCTTATAACTGCAGTAATAAATAGTGCTGCAAAACGGCAGTGCTGATCAAAATATGATTTGCATTTCCTGGTTTTAAATCAAGCTTCGAAACGTGATAACTAAATTCAATTCAATTCAATACATTTGGAGAGAGCTTATATCCGGGGGAAGGGGGAGGGATAGGGGAAAGGATTTATAATCAGATGATTTTTTTTGTTTACAAGTAGATGGGCCTACAACTGGGAGGGCTTAAGTAAGAGGGATATAAGTAGCAGTTTACAGTGTTTCACTGTTAATTTGTTCCTGAAGAAGCAGCCAGCCAGATTACTACAGTGTCCCTGAACCCATACTGCACATCTTCTCATTCCCTTACTGCGTATATGGTAGAATGAGCACATCGAAATATCTGCCTGGTTGGTACCTTTTTTACAATGCATTATAATGATTATTGGGCAAAAGCAAAAATACAGGCAAAAAAGATTTACTAAAAATATTTATAAGCTTTAAACATAACTGATATCTGCCAATCTGTATTCTTACCCGGCCCATTTTTTCTCCTAAAACAGGAGTCTTACTGTAAGTAAGGCAAAGTTTTAACTCTTAAGAATACCTTGAAAATGAAAAAAAAAAATACTACAGTGTAATTACTTTATTTGTAAAAAAAAAGCATGAAGAAAAAAAGAGTGAAAAAATATCATAAGTTATTCTTTTCAATTGTCACATTTAATGGTCGCTATGGCTGTTGTCACACTGGAGACAGATTTCTGAGACGAATAATTTGCCATCAAAATTGAGGGATAAACATAGGGGTATAGTCAGACGGATTAGTCATCCAAAATTAAAACCAACTCCTTATTCACCTCGAGACAGATTACCTGTCCGTGATAGATAATCTCTAGTGTGAAATGGATCAGAGCTGTTGCAACAGTGAGTGTGTTTCTCTGCTTAAATACAAGTTATTATTTTGCAGTCCAAACAAGATGTTAAAGAAGAGTTGTAGCTAATGTGCAAAACTATCATTAGCCTTAACATTTCCTGCCTCAAAATAAATGAAAAAAATTGTTCTAATGAGTGCACAAATTTTTAAATTGCTAAGGTATTTTTGGTGTTGAAGGCTTTGTTATGGTGCAGACATCCGGGGGGGGGGGGGGTACTCCCTATGATGACCTATACGGGGAGGCTCCACCTGAAAGCCTGAAAGGGGTACCTGTTGCAGGCTTCAGGTACATGAAAGGGTAGGCATTTCACTAGTTGAAGTATATAAAAGGGTAGGGGAATCTGTAATTTGGGTCTGTAAAAGGGCCCAAAAAGGGCTAACAGATGAATTTTATGGCTTTAAAAAGTCTAAAAAATGTTCTATTTTTGCGATTGATTCCTATTCAAAAGACAGTGCATTTACAGCAGTTAAAAGGGATGCAAAGTTCTAAACAAGGTGTGTGAAAGGGGTACCATTTGTCAATAGATGGTATATGAAAGGGGTACATTTTCCTTTAAAAATAGTCTATAAAAGGGTAAGGGGTTGGACCTTGGGGTGGTGCCTCCCCATATAAGATTGCTCAACATCATCTTTTCAATATTTTGGTTATGTAATTGGTGATCCCACCTCAGGGTGCAAAAAAAGTCAGTTTTACAGCCTGCCATTCGGGCAAGCTGTAGCTAGCATGCACTAGCCCCAAAAACTGTCTTTGATTAGCAGGATTGATTACAATCCTTCTGTTTTTGAATATCCCCCCAAAACAGCAAGCAGCAAGTTAAGAACAAAAATCACTAGCCCAATAGCAAAATCCACTAGCCCTGGGCTATTGGACATGACTTTCTTTGCACGCTGCACCTTATACAAACCAACTGGAGATAATGTCAGTTCATTTAAATAGGAACTGTATCAACCATTAAATTAAAAAAATGCAAGATCATTGTTTTTTACCTGAAAATTCTCCGTGAAATAATAATGCTTTAAAATTATAACATAAATGTTATTAATCCTTCATATTTCCATAACAAAACAATCAATGAATCCAGTCCTCTGATAATACATTATAGTCTCACTGCTAGTTTTCAACTGGTGTTGGCTGAGGCAAAATGACTTGCACAACATAGCCTTTGGGAATTTTAGCTTCTCCTATTGTTGTCTTGTCAGTTAACATTCGTCCAGCATAAAACCATCTTTGCTTTGAAGGCTCAAACCCTTCCAGCTTGTGAAGCTTCTTTTTAATTTTAAGGACAGTATCAGAAGTGTAAACAGTCATTTTCAGGTCCTTTCCAGAAGACAATCGAAGTTTAATGTACAGTTCATCTCCAGTTGGTGGAGTTTCGTTTTCATCATCGTCCTCTTTGCTCGTCTCCCCACTAACATCCTCATCCTTAATTAGATTAGTTGGCCTGCTGATGCAGTAGACTGGAAGTACATATCTGTTGCCCAGTTCATCATAAGCATCTTGTAAGGATCCTGACAGATAAATAAATTTTAGTAGAGTACATGGTATACAGTAGAGCACTGCTAACTGGACCACCCCACCCCCCAAACCCCTTCAAAAAAGGTTTAAATTTTAAATTTAGATACAGCCAACTTCCTCTCCCATCTATTATTCAAAAGGGAAAGGCTATAAACCATTGTTTTTCCTGCAGATATCTAACTGAAGCAGCCGTCCATCAGAATGACTTCTAACACATATGCAATTCCAGAAATATTAATTTCAGCTCTACTGTTCCATTTATCAAAATTATTGCAGAACATTATAGTCAATGGAGGAAGCGACCCACAGTGTGAGCATATTAACCACAAAGACGTACATTTCCTAGGTGAACAAGTCAACTAAACCAAGTGTGACTTAAATTTACAACACACACATCATCAGACCTCCAAAGATGTGTGCACAGGTGCCTACAACTGAACCTGGAAGCTGTGCATTTGCTAATCAAGATGATAGGAAATTTGAAATGCTCTTCTGGTAAATTGTTGAGTCCATAGGTGGCCCAGAACAAGGATATTGTCGGCACTGCTTTGCAGACGTTACTAACAAAGGTTAAATAATATTACAGTAAATCTGCGACACATATTCTTGCATTATTTTTTTTCTCATCTCTTCTTTTTCATTTTTTCACGTACACATTCAGCCTTATCTATTCTTATCCCATTTAATGATTAGTTTCTGTTCTAGAGAATTTGTACATGCTCAGTGGTAAATTGTCTTGCCGATGTCAGTATTTTATTAATTAATTAGATAATACAATTTTTAAAGGTAGTCGTATACACAAGCCTTATTGGCTTCCTTGTGCTCCCTTGCCTCATCTTTTTTTAAATTTTATAGTGACTAGTGAGACATAATGCTAGGAGTTTCTCGATTACATTGTATTCTCGGTTTGTTTATTTTAAAAACTCATGTAAGTGTTTGTAAAAAATGTAATAGTAAAATACAAAAAAAATTTCGAAGGTTCTAGAATTTGACTTCGAAAGTAAACAAGCAAACAAATAACAGCATAAAGATTAACTCATTTTAAAAAGCAAAGGGAGTTTGGCAGAGGCCATGTTTAATAAAGTGAGACGGAGGTTGTGTTTAGTTTGGAAGAGGCAGTTTCTGCTGTTTACATCGAGTCCAGAGTTATGAGTTGTTGTAGAGATATACTGTTGCAAAGGCTACATTCATTTAAGAATAAATCTTCTTGTTATTCTTCTAACAACCCTCAATTCAGTTTACTCGATCTGCATATTTATCCCTCTCACCATTAACTTCTGCAGGGGTGGGTGGGGGGGGGGGGGCTTATTAGAGAGGGGGCTGCTTATTGCAAGTGCTCTCTTTTAAGAGGTACTTGTAGAGCACATGGAAATTCAACTGTTATTCTTTAGGGGCAATGGAATTGAATAGGTGAGTCACAAAAGTGAGTCACTTATCACCACTGGAAGAATTAAACAAATTCTTACGTTCTTTTCAAAATACATGCCAAATTATCTGTAGCAATCGTCGTAAAAATTGTCAGTTTAATAGTGTAAAAAGTAAAAACCACAAACATCAGCACTCTGCGATCTTGTAAAACTGCACTTGATTGTGAATGGTCGAAAGTGGAGATCGCTTTTCAGCTACACCGACTATAAGCTTATCACATCTTTGTGACAATGAAAAATGCGCTATTATTTTTTACCCACTATTTTCATTACTGAGACATGAAGAAATAAAAATTAATGAAATTCGACAACTAAAGGGGCCATTTAGCTCTGTTGTGCGGACAGTGATTAAACATACATATCTCATTTTTCTAAGACGTGACAACTTATATTGCTCTGTAAACTTAGAAGTCGTTAGCGATCGAAACTTGCGGTACAGCATCACAGACACCTAACGACGCACTTAACAAAGGATCCACATTTAAAAGCATTTAATAGTCGTTATAATATTGACATCTAAATCCCTGTTAAGTCTAGAGAAGCCACAGAGATGAAAATATATTTGCGTGAGGTTCCTTCAATACGCTTCGTTCAACGGAACTTGAAATAGACATGATTCAGCAAAGCGTAAATTCGAGCATAAACTTTAACTTACCAGTGGGAAGTGTTATGTTTGCACCATCAACGATTGCTTGTGCCCAAGTGTGGTCATCTGTTTCGGCTGCCGCTCTCAACGCATCCCAAATCTCTTTCCGCCCTTCAAAAGCTGGCGCAGTTTCCCAAAACTCATCCCTTTTGGACCTGAGTTGGCCCTCTGTGAGCGGCATTTCCGAAGTCCATGGCGGACGTTCCTTCTTCAACGGCTGATTTCGACCCAAAGTAACTAGAAAAAACAAACAGTAAGCGTCAGTTGACACTATGAAACCACTTTGATTCGACTGGTACTAGACCTTAAGCCGTAGAACATGCCACAGCAAAATGTGGCCAGAAGAAAATTTTACGCAAATACCTCCCGGAGTACTACCAAATTGATCGCTGGAACTGACTCGAACACTCGGATCTCTCGATGTTCCCATACAGCCTCCCATATTAACGGTTGGCTCATAAAGTAAGAAACCAAGGAATCAAACTGCTCCGCCAAAACGGCGGCAACAGAGAGTTTTTCCCCCTTATTTTAGCTGCTTCTCTCAATTCCTGGCATAGAAAAAATTCGTATGAATAGTGACGCATAGATTGATATTCACTCTAACGTGACGTCACAGGTAAACAGAAGCGGACATGCGTGCATTGCCATTAATTGTTTTTATGGCCTTTCAGTTTGCACTCCCCCCCCCCTCCCTCTTCTTTTATTTTCTTCTTTCTTTCCTTTTCCCTTTTCGTTTTGTTTTGTTTTTCATTCTCTTGTTTTTCCCAGAAATTCATTTCTTTATAATTAGGGTTCCCCACATGATACATGTAGGCTGAAGAGATTTCAAGAGATATTTCACCATCAGGGGGGTACTCCAGATATAAAGAGACAGGGAGGATCATCGAATGGGGGCATCCCTAGGGCAACAAAATTTAACACCAAAAAAATCCCATGCCGAATTTCCAAGCCATAAAAGTTTCCAGAAATCATTAAATGATATAACATGAAAAATAGAAACATAGCCCAAAAGATTCCTACGTTAACTCAAGCAATGCCAAAAAATAATTGCCAAAATTTTCCTACCCAAAAAAATCCCGAAATCGAAAATTTCAAACCCGAGAAAAATCCTTCAGTCATCCCTTTCATTTAAAATCATCTGTAGTAATACCAAAAAAAAATTCTTATGGGAACCCAAGAAAATGAATGTCAAATTTCACAGAATTACATCTTACACATTAAATTTTCATAATTTTTCCTGTGTAATCACAATTCTTGTGAAATTTGAAATTCATTTTCTTGGACTTCCATGACAAATATTCTTTAAGTTGGTGTTAACTACAGATGACTTATTACATCCTTAGCCCTTGAAAAATGTAAAAAAGAATGCAATATTCTTTAAATTATTCTGTTTCAAGGTATTTGTCCACTAAAAATTAAAATTACCGGTAGTCAATTTCTTGTGGATTCCGTCTTAATTCTGATTGTTTCGTTATCCCTAAAAATCCCTTACCAAAGAGAAAATAATTCACTTTTACTCGTATTATCATTTTACTTTATTAATCATTTCGATTAATGATTATATTTTACAAGGTATATCATTTTTGTCAACACAGTCACACATCTATTGCAAATTTAGCCTGCATAGCTGGTGGGATTAGCAGGTTAGTGCTGTTGTTTTTGGCAGCAGAGCCGCCGCACGAATCATCATGCGGAAAGTACCCCAGGTACAACCATCCCACCAGCTGTGCAGTCTATTACACTTGCTGGACATATATCTGTTTTGGCTATTCTTTTAGTAAGTGTCTAAAGGAGAGGAAATTTTCCCTCTCTGTTGGATACTCTTTGACCAAGTTTAGGATTGGTTTAAAAGTATTGGGACTGTAAGATTACAGTAAAATACTGGCCAGAATGATGTGATTAAGGAACCTCACTGACAACCCCCTCTACCATCTCTTTTTTCACAAAAAAATGAAATAGTGATTCCGAGTCTCGGTTATGATCTGCTGGCTACCACATGTACTTGATAACAAAATTCCTGCACATATTGCCCAAGAGGCCAGCTACATAGAAGGTTTGAAACTATACAAGGGTTTACTACATGTATCTGTTTCTAAAATAACTTTTTTCGAAGGAAACTTACTGCAATTTTCAATAACACACATACTTTGAAGTTTAAATAACCTGAGATCAGGCCCAATTTTAGCAGTTCTCATACATTCTCTCTAACGGCCAGCGCTAAAAGTTTCGCCATGCCTGCCGGAATGTAATTTTCAAAGCAAAACCAAAATAGAGCCTGATCTCAGGTTAAAGTTTAAATGCCAATTTTAAGAGTTTGCATTTTTGGCTGCCATCACTTACAGGTGTCTTGGTGGATTTTGAATGCTTTTGTGTTTCAGAGTTCATTGTTGTGATCATTATAGCTATGATTGACAGCAGCTAAAAATGCAATTGTAAGGTTGGTTGTGTTTTTGAAAGGTGCAGAAATGCCGGCTGATTTGATAGTACATCTAAACAACGGTGGATGAGCTGGATGCAAACACAGAGCTGCCACTTGATTCACTTACACCTTCATCGAAGGTAAAATGCCTGGTCTTTCTTGCTTGAAGTGCAGTCTCATGAAGTCTATCAGCCGAGTATTTTGACTGAAGTTCTAGAGAACTCTCACTTAAAGGTCGAGACTTTCGACTGGAGGGTGTCGCATTGTCTTTAGTGCTACTAGCACTAGTTGTTTCTTCACTGCTTTCACTCACTTTAGCTTCCACGGTTGGTTTGGAAGGCTTTGATCTCAATCCTATTGAACTCAGGTAAGGCTGAACAACATAGGAGATTAAATGTTCCAGTTTTCTATAGTTTCTACTGTTTTGGTCATCGTGAACGCCCTGCAACATAAAAAGTGTTACAATGTTTTAGAAAGTCAGCCTTCATTAATTTTGCCAAGCGTACATGTAAGAACAAGACCCATTAATACTGGCCTTATGGATACTTTGTTGAGATTACAGCCCAAAAATCAAATTTTATTTGGAGGCAAGCACCAATCAGAAAATTACCGAAAACTAACTGAAAAAAACCCTGCAAAGTATGGAAGGTCTTCACCATTACTATCAACAGTAACTTGGCCTGTGGGTCTCTATAATAATAATTGACAATTGAAATTATCAATTTTATTTATAATAATAATATTATACTTATTTAAGTTGATTGATTAGTTCAGACTACATTATACAGTTATATCTTGTATTTTATATAGTTTAGTAGTATCTAGAGTATTTAGATTATTTAGTTGTTATTTTGTATTTTATATAGCTTAATATTATCTATTTAATTGTTTACCTCATTTATTCATTTATTATTATTTTAAGAGGGGCACAAGTTTATTAGCTCTGGCTATTTAGTGTCAATCCTCATTAAATTAAGTGTTTATCTTATCTTCTCCATTGAATTTAACATTCATATGATTTGAAGAATTATGAAGGTCAATGACAAGTTACAGTACAGGGGTGTTACGCCCTTTGAGATCAGACTGCATTCTTCATATGACATGAATGAAGAATTCAATAAATTTATAATTCATTCAAAACATTTCAAGCTCATAATCCCTGCATAGGATTTCTCAAACATTTGCCAGCTCAAGGCTGTCGCTAAGGAGTGGCGACCGGAGATTTCCCCAGGTTATTATTGGCATGTGCCCTGGCCACTTTCAAAGGAATCGGGAGGAAGATAGAACCAAAAGAAACTCCCAGATGTTCAATCAGGGGCACCCAACAAGAATATAGTTCAAAACCACTTAAACATAGCATTGTTAAACGTATTTTAGTATCTAAACGGTAGATATAAGCATACTTTTATCCCCTAAAAATTTTTTATCTGTTCGAATTTCCTAGCTGAAAGTGTAGTGATCCGAAAATTATAGGAATCAAAACTTACCTTTCTGAAAATTTCAGCCAGAAAAAAGGCTCCCGAAAATTCTAGCTGACCTTTTTAGGGTACAAATCGGTTAAAAATGGGCAGTTATACCATTTTTTGGATGTTCGAAAATCCTCGGAGAGGCAGGCAAGCAAGAAATTTTACAACAAATGTTCCGAAAATTCTAGATCTCAAATCGTCTTCCGAACAGATATTTTCTGAAAATTGACGTTGGGTGCCCCCGTTCAATTCCCTGTCACCTATTAAATTGTATATACTGTACCTAGGAAATTCAAATCGTAGTAAAAGCCCTGCTGCTACAAAGCAGCTTTGGAGTACAAATGAATGCTTTTTATTGTAGAAATTCTTTAAAATCCAGTCAATAACAGTTTCACTTTTAAATCAGTATTTTCCCTTTTTGGTTTTCACTAAGCATTTTAAATCTTCCACCCTTTTACTCTACCCTGCCAAAACAGCTCAATTGCTGCACAACTCTCTCTTTGTGAGATGCTACGTGTAATATACCAGGGCTTCTGATAGGTCGCAGAAAAAAAAAGTTAAATTTTGCGGGATTTTTAGGGACAAATTTGAGGAAAAATCAGCCGATTTCACGGGAATTTTCAGGGCAAACTTGGCCAAAAAGCAATCAGTAAGAAAACAGCGGATTTTGAGGTTATTTTTGGGCAAATTTCACTAGAAATTGATCAGTTTTGCACTGATCAGACCAACTGTTTTAATGTTTTTCTAACAGAGGTCATTCAACGACAATATGCTCCAGAAATGAACCAGTGGCAAAGCCTTTAACATCATGGCTAGTGCCCAGTTTTTCGCAACATAATCTAGGCCTGGTAGTTTCGGGACGTTGTTTGCCATTTCAGTAACGAAGTTTCAAGATAAATTTACAAGTTTACGGCAAGTAAATACCCCCAATAGCTGAGACAAGTTTCAAAAATGCTGTGTTGAGACATGTATTTGATAGGATTCCTACCAAATTTTGCGGTATTTTGCTTGTTTTTGTGAATTTCGCGGGAGGTCGCGGATTTACCTGAATTTCACGGCTCCGTGAGTGCACGAAATATCAGAGGCCCTGTATAAATGTATTATTGTTCAAAATTTTTCTAAGACACGAGAAAACTTGTTGGACGAAGGTGTACAATAATCTTTTAAACTTTGGTCAGCACTAACTTGTTATGAAACATTAACTCGCCAACAGTGATTTAAGAAATAGAAGAGAAATATTTTAAATGAATATCAGGCCATCCCCCTTTTTCCCTCCATTTAGTGTCGTCCAACTGACCCAAATTTTGGGGATTTGACTTTAATTAATTCTTTTTATCTGAAAAATGAGCATTGTATATAATGACATTTCCAGTCATACATGTAGAAGTTTCGGTGGTGTATCTTTTTTGCTTTTTACTATGACATCAACCATCATATTTCCCACCATATTGAGTTTGTGTCAATCTGGTGACCATGTCTTGTTGTTTCCAGGCTCCATGGCAATGATGCTGTGGTTTCAGCCTCCTATTCTCAGACTTATTGTGATATTTTTTTATGTTCTTTTTCTTCCTTTTTTTTTTCACTTGATTGACCGACCCAAAATTCAATGGTAAATGAAAAAGAAAAAAAAAAGAAGATGGCCTTAACCCTTTTACTCCCAGCTAGACCAGTATATGATGAGATGACATTTCTTTCTAACTTCTGGATCTCTGGTTAAAATCCTACGGTGTTACCATTAAAAAAAACCCTTAGGCAGAGCTTTTACATAGTATCGTTTATTTCTTAGGATTTTACAAAAAAAGGAATTTGGAATGTCTTGTAAATTTTCACTCTGGTTGCTGTTAGGAGTGAAAGACTTTAAAAATTATGGGAGATAGTGTAAATGTACAGGTCAAAATTTAATTCAGGTAAAAAAATTTTTAATCTAGGTTGATTCTCAATTTCATTTGTCTCGTAGCCCCAATTCATGAATAATTAGGGCTAGAAGACAAAGGGAATAGAGAATCAAACTAGGCTAAAAACTTTTCACCTGAATTTAATTTCGACCTGTAACATAAACACTAGTAGTTCTCACCTGTAAAATTAGTAACATCTGGACCAGTTTAGGGGGGACTGTCAAATCCATAACAAATGCTTCTTCCAGCTTGGTTTTCAAAACAACTACGTCTCGAAAACTTAACAAAGCAATAGCCCTTGTAGACTGAGCTTCCCGTGACTGAATATCTAAAAAAATGGCCTGAAGGAGAGGCAATATAGTGCAGAAAAAATAAGACCAACTATCTGCCAGTTTGTCCAAAAGAACTTCGCCATTCTTGGCTTTCACGTCCTCTCGCAGTATAATCATCCCCTTTACTAAAGATTCTTTAAAACGCTCACATATGGCAGGGCCGTTGATTTCTTGTTTCACTGTTTTCACTTTCTCCATGAGACTGCTCAATTCGAATTTCGTTAACTTCTTTCGTTGAAACAACGCAGTAACCGCGTTGGAGACGGTATTCCAATCTTCGTTTTTTCCAGCCGCGTAATTAAACTTTTTATCGGCCTGTTTCGGGCTTCTTGGTCGCGGTGCTCCAACCATGGTAGAGGAAGGATCTTTTCTTAAAAAGTCCCCCAAAGTTACTGGCGATCGAGCCATTGCAGACAGAAAAAAAAACGTTCAACGTTTGGGAAAAAAAATGGCTGTTTAGTTTTGGGCCGAGATAGAAAACAGCTATTCGTGACGTTTATATGGCGTACAGGATGTAGCCAACGCAGGCCACAAAGACTGCAGTCGACAAGCTATAGAATAACGCGAGTTACATGACACTCGTCCACTCACAGCAGCATCACATTTAGACAGGACGTCGTCTTCATCTTTCTGGGTTTTTGCCTTAAAAAATGTCGGGAGGAGAAGATTTGAGGTACAGTATAAGCTTTCTGTTAACGTGATTACCGTTTTTCTTTCTCTTTCTTATATTTAGATACAGGCTCATGCCCAAACTGAAAGCATAGCGCGCTAGTATTTTGTACGCTCCTCTTTGCATGAAGCAAGGAAGGTCTCTAAATTCCCAGGATGATAAAATTAAGGTCTATTGTAATCAATTGTTATAAATCATATTGAACAAAGAGGGCATTTTCGGTAAAAAAAAAAAAAAAAATGTTTTAGTCAAGTCCTCGATATTTTTCTCCATTACAAAAAGCTTTATGGCTAACAACAGGTGTAGCCGCAAACATTCAAGTTTTACTGGTCCCAAAAAAAAATAAAATAACTCGGTGTCTATTTTCCCGGAAACCGGGAACTATTTTCAGAAAACTAGATACCGGGCAGTCAGAAATTTTGACCAATTTTCTCGAAATAGCTTGTTTAAATACTCTTAGAACACAAGATATTTGTTTGAAAAACCTAAAGCGATTGTAAATTTTGCCTTGGGCAGAGAGTGAAATCTCAATGTTTTCGACAGGTATAAAAATTAATATTCATGTTCTTCCACACTGAGTCGAATTTCTAATTTCTAAATTCTAAATAAAGAAACTAACATGATTACCGGTTTGCTTTCTCTTTCTTATATTTGGATACAGGCTCATGCCCAAAGCATAACGCGCCAGTTGTACACTCCCTTTTGCATAAAGCAAGGAAGAAGGTCTCTACCTCCCCAGGATGATAAAATTAAGGTCTATTGTAATCAATTGTTATAAATCATGATATTGAACAAAGAGTGCATTTTAGGCAAAAAATAACTGTTTTCGTCACGTCCTCGATATTTTTCTCCCTTTAATAAAGAGAGCATTATGGCTAATAATAGGTGTAGCCGCATACATTCAAGTTTTACTGGTGAAAAAGAAAAAACTTGGTGTCCATTTTCCTGGAAACTGGGAACTGGTTTCAGAAAACTAGATACCCGGCAGTCAGAAATTTTGACCAATTTTCTCGAAATAGCTCGTTTAAATACTCTTAGAACACAAGATATTTGTTTGAAAAACCTAAAGCGATTGTA